GGAGGGGTGAACTTTTCAGAATTGGGGGGGAGGGACTGTCAGCAGATGGGTCTAGGGAAAGATGAGGGAATATAGAATTGTTTAGGAAAAAGAGGAGTGGTCACTTAGGATCTGTGGAACAAAGAACTTTGTCCTTGGAGGCAAAGAGGGGAATTATGAGAGATATTTTAAAAACGCTTTATATGGTGTGAACATGGGTGATGAATGTTGCACGAGGGGAAGGGTGGGGGCGGGGAGATGTCAGTCTGAGGGAATGGTGGTGTGAATATAAACAGAGAATTCGTAGTTTGGAATTAGGAGGGGTGCGGGATTACCAAAATGTTTTTCCCACAGGCGAGGAAAAGGGTTGTTGAGGTGTTCGGCTGTAAGAGAAGGAGCGAAACGAAGACTTTAAAGTGTATCAGTCGGTGGAAAGAAGGGGGGGGGGGTCGGCCTAGGGAAAAGGGTTTGGGGGGAGGGGTAAAGGAGGTTTTTTTGTGCGAGGGGGTTGGACTTCCAGCAATGGTGAGCGGTTTGATAGGAGTGAATAACAAATGGTTTTTAATACTTGACGTGCTGTTGGATGTGAGCAAAGTAACATTTATGAAGGGATTCAGGGGAAACCGGCAGGGCCGGACTTGAGTCCTGGAGATGGGAAGTACGGCCTGCCCCTGAAGGGGGGGTGTTAATGTTGCAGTTTTAAAAAACTGTATGAAAGCACCCTTCTGCAAGACAGTGAGGAGTGAAATGGTGAAAGTTTTTTTTTTTTCGGGCCACCCTGCCTTGGTGGGAAACGGCCCGTTGATAATAAAATATAACCGGAGGGTTTCCCCGGAGAAGCGGGGGTCAAACCCCCCCGGCCCCGGCTGTGACCAGGCCTCCCGGGGGGATCAGCGCCCGATCAACCAGGCTGTTGCGCTGGCTGACCAAACCAACGTACAGCCCAGCCCCGGGTGATAGGAAATGCTTTAGGTGGGTTGTCCCGGCCCGCTTGAAAACTGCCAGGGGTTGTTTGGTAAACCCCCTTTGTGTGCTGGGAGGCGTTTTAAAAGCTGGGCCCCTGACACCTTTTTGTATGGTCTCTTAAGCTGTGACACCCCCGCTTTTTATTGGGGAATTGGGGGCAAGTCTTGCCAAGTCTTTTTCTTTGTAGTGAGTGATTTTTCTGTGCAAGTTTGGTATAGTCCCTCTAGGTTTTTCCCGGGGGATATAATCATGTATCCTTCCCCCCCTGGTTCCAGGAATACAGGGTTTTGAAACCTCAAGCGCTCCCCGTAATTGAGGTGTTTTATTCCGTTATGGGGCCGTGAAAGTTCTCTGTACATTTTTTAGGTCGGCAAATTTTACCCCGCCCCGAAAGGTGCTGTTAGAGTGCAGCAATTTCCAGCCTAATAAACAAAAATGACCTGAAAAGTGCATATGGGCTTGGCCCCCTGTTTTGAAGGTTCTCATTATCCATCCCCCATTTTTCTAGCAGATCGATTATACAATGTTAGGTCCTTGAAGGGAGATCCTCCGACATAACACTCCCAGTCTTTGACGTGGTGTTTCGCCTATTTTGTGGCCGAATTTTTTTTTGTACTCTGATGAAGATTTAATTTTTTCCCCATGTTTTCCAATCTGAGTAAATTTAAATTTCTCATCGTTTAACTTCATATTGTTTTCTGCAGCCCCGAAAAATTTGGTTTATGTCCGCCTGGAGCCTTGAGGTTCTCAATGGGAAACACTTCATGCAGATGGGGGCATCCGCAAAGGAAGACACGGGGCTGTGGCTGACATCCTTGTCTATGTCGGATATGAGGATGAGGAACAAGATGGGAGCTAGTACTGTGCCTTTGTGAACAGAGCTTTTCACCTTTAGCTGCCTCGGACTTTACTCTGTTGACGACTACTCTCTGTGTTCTGTTTAGTGAGGAAAATTATAGATCCATCGACCGACTTTTCCTGTTATTCCTTTAGCGCGCATTTTGTGCGCTATTCGCCATGGTCACACTTGTCGAAGGCTTTTGCAAAGTCTGTATATATTACATCTGCATTCTTTTTGTCTTCTAGTGCATTTAGGACCTTGTCGTAGTGATCCAGTAGCTGAGACAGACAGGAGCGACCTGTTCTAAACCCATGTTGCCCTGGGTTGTGTAACTGATGGTTTCTAGATGGGTGGTGATCTTGCTTCTTAGGGACCCTTTCAAAGATTTTTATGATAGGGGATGTTAGTGCTTTTGGTCTGTAGTTCTTTGCTGTTGCTTTCTGCCCCCTTTGTGGAGTGGGGCTATGTCTGTTGTTTTTAGAAAACTGAGGGCGACCCCCGTGTCCATGCTCCCTCTCCATAGGATGGAAAAGGCTCGTGATAGGGCTTCTTGCAGTTCTTGATGAACACAGAGTTCCATGAGTCTGGCCCGGGGGGCAGAGTGCATGGGCATGTCATTTATCGCCTGTTCGAAGTCATTTGGCGTCAGGATAACATCGGATAGGCTTGTGTTAATCAAATTTTGTGGCTCTCTCATAAAAAATTCATTTGATCTTCGACTCTAAGTCTGGTTAGCGGCTTGCTAAAAACTGAGTCAAAATTGGGACTTGAGTAGCTCACTCTTTTTCCTTGCTGTCATCTGTTGTAGGACCCATCTTGTTTAAGTAGGGGCCCAATACTGGGCGTTGTTCTCGATTTTGATTTGGCATAGGAGAAGAAATATTTTGGGGTTTCCTTTCGATTTCATTTATAGCTTTTAGTTCTTCCCGCGATTCTGACTCCTAAAGGATTCTTTTAGCTTAAGTTCGTTTCTTGCTATTTCTCTGACCAGTGTCTCCCTGCGCATTTCAGATATATTGCCCCTCTTTTAGCCGCCTTTTAATTTTTTTTTTCCGTCGCCTGAAAAGGGGAGCGCCTTTTCTCTTTTTTTTTTAACATCTACTCCTCCTTTTTCTTAGGGAATAAGCCTTGGCTTTAATGGGGAGTGCCCCCCAGTTAATCTTTTTTGGCATAAGTTTGGGTCTGTGTTGTTTAGTATATTTTCCCCGCTTTTTTTGGGTTTAGGACTTTGGTTTTTTGGGTTCCCACTTTATTTTTTTTGTTATTAATTTAAATTTTTGGGTAAAATTGTCCTCGTGACTATCTCATTTTGTGGGTTTGGGGGGCCCCCGCATAATGTCTAACCTAAATTATGTTTTTAATCTAAAGGAAATTTTTTTGATATGGTGACTTTTTCTTTATCAGACCCATCATTGTTAGTGAATAGGAGGCTAGTGTTTTTCTCCAGTCTAGTGGGCCTATTATTTGCGGGTTTTTTAAATTGAATTTTGGGCGGGATTTTAAAAGCTCTTTGTGATGTGAGTTTTTCATAAGCTGCCCCCCGGGGTTTTTTAAAACTGAAAACAATATTATTTGCTTTTTCCCCCTTTTTGGGTTTTCCCTTTAAGTTGAAACCCCCCCAGGAGCAAGATGTGGGTGCAGGAGCTGGAAGTTTTTTCCCAGACGTGGTCAATTTTTAACAGCTGTTCCTAAAATTGCGGGGAGGGTTCCCACCCGGGGGCTTGTAGACTACCACAATGACTATTTTTTTTGGTTCTGGGCCTTTACTGCTTAAAAAATTCCATCCCTCATTTGAGCATTAAGGGATTCGTGCAAACAAGGGGGACCCTGCAAAAGTACAGGCCACCCCCCCCCTTTTGCCCGTTTTTACTCTGTCACATCTGTAAGGTGTAAACCCGGGGTTCCCCTATTTCATTGTCCAAGTGAAACCCTTTTTTGGGTCTCAGTGAAAGCCGCGAAAAAAATTTCTTTGCCCCTGCAAAACAGTCCACGGTTGGAAAAGGAAATTTTTTTTTTTTTTGCTGGCTTTTGGGCCCTGTATATTTGCAAGAAAATGTTATCGGCTGGTGGGGTTTTTGTTGGTACTGGGGGGGGGATTTTTTTTTCCGGCTTAGTATCTGTATCTGTTTTGGTTTTTGGGGTGGAGGCCATCGACTGTGGTTCCACTCCGGAATGACCCGGATTTTTGGGGTACGATTTTTGCCATTTCCCGCCCTTTTTTTTCCTTCCTGGCATAAAAAAAACCCCTTTTCCCTTTTGAGTGGCGTGGCTACCCAGGTTTTTTCCCCTGGCCTGGAATTTTGTATCTTTTTTTCCCCTTTAGATGGTTTTTGCCCGGCAATTTTAAATTTTTAGAAAAGTCTTTCCTGTACTGAAGAGGGACACAAAATTTTAGGTTGGGGTGAAAAAGTTACAGGAGGGAGTTTGCCAAATTTTTCCCGTTGTCATATGGGCATGGCATTTTCTGGGTGGTCATAGTTGCCGTCCATCTGTTTTTCCCGATTTCCCCTGCCCAAACGAACCCAAATGAAAAGTTGTGCACAGGGTTGGTTTTCCCCCTTGCCTAGGGTTTCTGTGACTGTAAATTTTTTGTTGGTGCATGTTTCCCCCGCCCTTTCTTCTATCCCCCCTTTGCACCAAAAAATGGAGCTCCCCCCATTTTTTTTTGGGGAAAATTTTTCCCCCACTATTGCTTTTTGGAAATCCCCCTTGTTTGCTAATTTCCCGCGGGGGTTTTTAGTTTGCAATTTTGGGGTTTTTTTCTTTCTTTTACTTTCACTTGTTTCCCTAAATATGGTCCCATCCCCCATGTGGGCCCTTTATATGTATTTCCTTTCCCCCGTAAAATATATATATATATATTTTATATATATATATTTATATATATATATATATATTTTATATATATATATATATATAATATATATATATATATATATATATATATATATATATAAAATTTTATATAATATATATATATATATATATATATATATTTATATAATTATATTTAATATTATATATATATATTATATATATATATATATAAAATGTATATATGGGCGAGAGAGAGGGAGATTTCAATTAAATTGCCGTTGTAACTCTTAGGTGAATTAAGGTGCAGGTCCTGTGCCTCTTGGAGGTTCTGGGGTACAATTAATCATGTAGCGTTACCTGTGATACAGGGGGCTGTGGTTACATTGCACATGATATATTTGTCTTGGATCTTGCACTGACGAAGCTTAGTTATTAATGTTTACAAGGGTCATTTTCAGGTTGAGCCTTGTACTTAAAATGACCGTATTAGTCGCATTTAACATTCCATTGTTCCCGCTTGCCTGCTGTTCACTTTTCAGTGTTTTTACCCCATTGTTGTTTTCCCTGCATTGTTGGAATACTGTATGTATTTTGAGTGGTAAATGGTCATACTTGCAGCTCCCGTCTGGGAGGTCATTAGGTTCAATCCCCAGGCGGAGAATCAGGCTTCCATTTCACATAATTACACAGTTGAAAACATGTAAATTGTAAATATAACACGTATCGTTAATGATTGTGGTTGTGCTCTTTCCCTGTCACTCCCCCGCCCTTGTGTATTCGACAGCCTTAAAGCTCAATTATCCAAGAAAGCAAGACTACACAAGAGAGCCACAGCATGGCTGTCTACCCTCACCCTACCTATATAAGGTCGCTGCCACCCAGAAGCACGACAGTGCTTGTTTTGTGCTGACAGAGTTAATTTCCTCGCTCTTCTCACTTGACTGACAGGTAGGTGCTATTACGTATTATTACATTACTATTAATGTGAACATGCTAAACCCATAGGGATCATACAGCATATGGGGATATAAGGTTTGATCAAAGGGATGAGTAGCTCAAATTACTTAACTGTATTCATAGAGAAACTTTAATCTGTAAGGGTTACATAATATATGCCTGAGATATTGTATTAGGGGAGGAAGGGGGGATCAGGCTTCATCAATGGGGAGATGGCTCGCTTTTTATGGATCAGGAACTTGTCACTGGCATCAAATTAGTTTAATTTTTAGTTTAATATGTTTATTATGCACCCCATACCCATCCTGTGGGCGGTAGTCAAAAGATTACAGAGGTACATAATTGGTCCAGGGACTGGGCCTGGGCCTGGGCCTGGGCCTGGGCCTGGCATCAAGGCAACCCCATTTGCCCTTTGAGGGGGTCATAACACTCCGTTATTAAGCCTCATTCCACTGTTATCCTCAACTTTCTGCCATTCCTCACGACCAAAACGACTCCCCAGAACCTTGTTCATAATTCTCTAGGGAATCACCTATCAATCCCCTCGACCTTACCTATCATTATTCCTCAAGATCTTGCCTATCATTTCTCAGGAAATTACCTATCGTTCCTCGGGAAATTACATATCATTCCCAGGAAATTACCCATAAATCCATATGATCTTAGTAATAATTCCCTGAACCTTACCTATCCTCAGGAATAATAGGTAATTACCTATTTGCAGGGCCTTACCATTCTCAAAGAAATCACTTATTCCCAGGACTTAATCTCCAGGGATTAAGTCCTGGGAACTTAATCCCTATCATCCACCAGGAAATAACCTGTTCCGGGAACTTACCTATCCTACACAGGAAATCACCTAACATTCTCAAGACCTTACCTATTATTTCCTAGCAACTTACCTATTATTTCCCAGGGATTTACCAGTCATTCCTCAGGACCTTATCTATCATTCTCCATGACTTATTCACCAGGGAAAATACCTATCATTGCCCAGGACTTGGAATATTATTATCAAAACTAAGCGGTAAACCGCAGGACTTGGGATCAATCCCCGTTTATTTATTTTATTTATTTATTTATGTCTTTGCAAAATAGTACATCTTTACCTATTATTCACCAGGAAATTACTTATCATTTCTTCAGCGTTGTACGACCCTCATGAGTTTAGCGCTTTGATGATTATAATAATCGTGGGGGAGCGCTAAACCCGTAGGGATTATACAGCGCCTGTCGGGGGATACCTGGAGGGCATTCCGAGGGTCAACGCCCCCGCAGCCCGGTTCATAACCAGGCTTCGTGGTGGATCAGGGCATTATCAACCAGGCTGTTACTGCTGGCCTGTGTACGAACCGCTGTATAGACCATGTGGTTTAGCGCTTCTCTTTTATTATAATAATAATGTGTACGAACCACAGCCCGGCTGGTCAGGTACCGACTTTAGGTGCCTATCCAGCCCCCTCTTGAAGACAGCCAGGGGTGTATTGGTAATCCCCCTTATGTATGCTGGGAGGCAGTTGAACAGTCTTGGACCCCTGACATTTATTGTGTTATCTCTTAGCGTACTCATGGAAGGCATTCAGGCTTAATTCAGTTCGGAAGTGGAGCACAGATGCAATTCCCTAGATTAAGAGCCCCTCACCAGCATCAAGGACCCTCCGAGTAAAATATTTCCAGTAAGATGTTTGTCGGAATTATTCCCTATCATCTTGTTTATCATTCCACAGAACCTTGCTCCTCATTTCCCAGGAAAGTGACTTATTTCCCATCATGCTTAACATTCACCATCACCCAGCTCCCTCATAGCTAACTTTTCTTCCCGTGTAACACACACAGGAAGGGGGGAGGTGTGGTTTGGAAGTCGTGTGGCATTGTAACATTCACGGAGGGGATGGAATTATACGTGTAGGGAGTCATACAACACGGGAACAATTGTATACTTTCTCACGTTGTCTCATCACTGAGGAAAGGGGGAGAATTTCGTAATTCAACAGAGTGGCGCTCCACGCACACGCACACATTTTTACTATATATAGGGAAGCACCAAATTCCTAGGGAAGGCATTCAGGTTTGATTTAGGGCTTCCTTTTGATTATAATAATAATTGATTCAAGGAAGACAGGTTCAATTCCTTGGATCAAGAGCCCCCTCAGGAATCAAGGCACCTTCTACCCTCCCTGACGGGGGGGGGGGAGAGCTCAATGTTGCCACATGCAAGTTTTTCCGGTGTTACGACCTTACATAGCAACACAAAGCTTAATTTCTCGCTTACACTTTTGTCTCCACACAGCACACTTTCACAAATTGTGTATGTTGATGGTTGTGTTTACCAGTCCACTGATGCAGCTGTTAGTGCTGCTGCTCTCATGCTAAGTATTGGATCTCAAAACGAAATTAGAGCATCAACAACTGGGCCTCTACCCTTCATTATTATTATAGTCAAATTATTATAATAAAAAAGAAACGCTAAACCTATAAGGGTCATATAATTAAAACTAAGCGCTAAACCAGAATCATACCGCGCTGCTACTACTCTTCAAACTGAATTGTTTGCTATATTCCTCGCACTCAAATGCATCCATGTATCTATGGAGGTTAAATCACCACCACCAGATGATGTAGATCGAACTAAATGTAAACTTTGCCAGAAGAATGATTGTGAAAACGTGCAATTGTATTAAGTTTTATAACCTGCATGAACTGTATCACTGTAGGCAACAAGAGCATTTCACCCCTCAATGGAAGATGTGTTCATTTAATATCACATAGCTACAAGTCCCTCCCAAGAAGCTCATTGCTAGTAATCCCTTCCTTAAATCTCTTGTTAGAGCAACTGCTCAAGAAGAAATTTCTCACCTAGCTGGTAGTAATAAGTTATATACACTGATGGATCTGGTATAAACCTTGGTAATAAATACCGACAAGTTGGTTTAGAAAGACACGTAAGCAAACATTATAACATATTTATTAGAAAACGTTTCGGTCCTGGGACCTTGATCACTTCTAACATACAGAGGTAGAAAGACATTATATATAGGCGGAGAGTGAGATGTGACCTGAGGAATGTCACAAGAACATAAGAATGGAGGAACACTGTATAAGGCCTACTGGCCCATGCGAGGCAGGTCCTTATCAAAAACAACCTCTGCCTATGATGAGGACGGGTAGACGATGAAATCATGTGACTCCTGTGTTGTTGGGTTGGTGCTGCTTAAGTATCATGTATGCCAATGTTTTTGAAATTTTGTAGTTTCCAGTGTTGCGTTCTATAGTGTCGGTGACGGCGATTAGTGAGGCTTCTAGGCACCGTCGGCGTCTGAGGTCTGGTTCGGTGAGAACGAGTTGTGCCTCATTCCAGTTCATCAAATGCCCCGTGGAGTCTCTGTGGAGGACACATGCGTACCTTACATCGTCTCTGTTAGAGGCATTTCGATGCTCATTCAGGCGGACTGCAAGATCTCTGCCTGTCTTGCCTACATATTTCTTGTGACAGAACCCACAGGGGATAGTGTAGACGCCTGCTGTAGAAGTTAGAGGTGTGGGGCTGCGTTTCGTAGTGAGGTCTTTGATAGATGATGTGTTTATGGTGGAAACGTTGATGTTACTCATTGCAAGTGCCCTGCGAGTATTCGTGGCAACATCGCCACATGGGAGTACTATGAACTGTTTAGGGGGCTGTTCCATGGGCGGTTTGTTGAGGATAGCTTGTGCCTTGAGTCTGCAATCTCGGATGAAGAAAGATGGGAACTGAAGACGTGTAAAGGCTTGTGTTATGTAAGTGCATTCTTCTTCTAGAAAACAAGGGCTGGAGATGCGAAGAGCTCTCAAGAAGAAGCCAATGAGGACTCCTCTCTTAGTGCGGGTGTCTTGGTGTGAATAAAAGTGTACAAGATCGTCCTTGTTGGTAGGTTTTCTATACACTTTGAAGAGAAGTTTGTCACTGTCGGGAGATCTGCACAGTAGAACGTCCAGGAAAGGAAGTTTGCCATCATTTTCGAGTTCAAGTGTAAACTTTATTGATGGTTCAACTGCATTGATCTTGTTGAGAAGGGCCTGGATATTGAGACGTCTCGGATAGAAAATCAATATATCATCAACGTATCTTAGCCAGGTAACGGTGTTGGGAATGAGGGTGCTGAATTTCTCTGTCTCCAGGTTTTCCATGAAGAGGTTGGCAAGCACAGCACTGAGCGGGCTGCCCATTGCCATCCCAAAGCATTGTTTGTAACAGTTGTCCTGATACTTGAAGAAGTTGAAATTAACACAAAGTTCCACTAGATTGATGAAATCTAGAAGAGGTAAAGGGAGGTCGTGGTTTTCAGTGAGCCTCTGTCTCAGAATGTTGATTGCAGCGTCAGTAGGAACGTTGGTAAAGAGGGCTGTGACATCGAAGGAAGCCATGCTTTTGTTTTTGACATTCTGGTTGGAAATTCGGGAGAGGTCACCTGAGTGTTTGAGGTGGGCTTGACTGATGGTGCCCAGAAGCGCTGAAAGGTATTTGGCAAGGTGGCCGGCTAGTCTGTGTGGTGCACTCCCGAATTTCCAACCAGAATGTCAAAAACAAAAGCATGGCTTCCTTCGATGTCACAGCCCTCTTTACCAACGTTCCTACTGACGCTGCAATCAACATTCTGAGACAGAGGCTCACTGAAAACCACGACCTCCCTTTACCTCTTCTAGATTTCATCAATCTAGTGGAACTTTGTGTTAATTTCAACGCTTGGATACGTATGTTCGTAATGCCTTTGCAAATAATCACTCAGTTATTGCCATATTTTTTGACCTTGAGAAGGCATATGACACAACTTGGAGGTATAATATTTTGGCCCAGGCCCATTCCTTAGGCCTCCGAGGCAATCTACCATCCTTCCTTAAGAACTTTTTAACTGACAGACATTTCCGTGTTCGAGTCAATAATGTTCTTTCCCCGGACTTCGTCCAAGCTGAAGGTGTCCCTCAGGGATGTGTTCTAAGCACAACACTTTTTCTCC